TATATATTAGCATTGCTTAACAAACTGTATTGAATGAGTTATATGTTAAAGTTAAAAGTGGTCTACTCATATTTATATAAAAAAAAATCGAGTTCACTTTGAGAGGCAATTTTAATATAATTATTGTTCGATTTTATCCCTCTTTGAAATGTTATTGAAAAGTAATTCTGGCATATAGTTACACAGAATTCGATCTTTTAACTAGATAGTCGATGTGCTTAATAATATCAAGGACGTTATGAATATCCCCCCTGAACTGACATGCCTTGAGCCTAGGCTTAAAGGAACTTGGGCCTATGTTTGCAAAAGCATACTACACTTGCTGCTGTATATATTGGGCATACTATGTAGACAGTGCAGTCAGAGTATGCTAATATAATGTATGCAAAAATACTACAAGTGTCTCAGTCAGTTTCCTAGTTCAGTAGGCCTAGTTAGTGCACTAACCAGGGAGTTGTCCATTTCGGTCATATTCCACTGACTGGAAATGTTGGAGTTTTTTTTTTTATTATTTCTTCGGTCTCTCGAGCTGAAAGGCGTCAACCTCATAGAAAATGCACAACCTCATAGAAACTGAGGCATTAAAGTCCTTATGTTTAGCTGATCAAGGTCTGGCTTGGTTCTGGAATAAGACAAAAACACACAGTGTACAGCAGCGCTTACTGCATGGATTATTGTGTCCCACAATGCAATGCACTTTATCTTCTACAGTATTTTATTAAGGAATTAGTCAAATTGACATAACACCAGCTTTGATTTTATTTGCTTCATTAATTTTTTAGACTGTAAAATGGTTAGAGGGTCAAAAATTAAAATAATGTCTATATGCAATTTTTATTTCCAAAAGCATAAGTGAACCGCATTCAATGCATTAAACATGCAACGTGATGTACACTACAAATAATAATTTTTTTGTTTTCCAGTAAATGTACCTTGTTTAAAGGGATCATATGATGCGATTTAAATTTTTCCTTTCTCTTTTAAAAATATATAAAAGTTAAGACTTGTCCACGCCCTCCTAAAATGCCTCGTTCTAGCACGCCCCCCACATGTCTACATCACTGTGTGGGAAGATTTGCATAACGCCGCCCAAATGTTCACGCAAAGAAAGAAGACGTAACTTTTATTCTCGCTGTAGTATTGTTGTTGCCACTGCCACCATGTTTTGGAGATGCTGTATGTTTCGTTGTGAAAGCGAAACTACTTTGTTTGGTCTTCCAAAAGAGGGCGATATCCGCATCGTCATGCCTAAGGCTGGTCGCTGAAGAAATACATCAACTTCATGCTGTGGATCGGCGGATGGTCTTTCACCGTGGACGAAGAGGAGTCCAGCCCGGGGTCGTCACATGTGGTTGCCGTCCTCAAGACCGCCGACCGCCGACCGTTCCTCACTCTAGCCCGCCGGCCGCCACTCACTCTAGCCCGCAGTGTGTGTCGCGTTTTATGGAGGACTGAACCTGCAGTTCTGCATAGCCTACAATGGGTCTGTGCTCAAAGGCTGTTTTATAAAGTGGGGCAGTTCCAACTTTGCAAGGACAGTCTGGCGCTTCTGACTCACAGCCTGTAACTAAATTTTTAATATTTAAAGAATTTGCCACTGATGATTCAAGCTTGAGTTTTAAACAGTGTAGCGTTTGTTTGCTTGTTTGTCGTTTCTCCGATCACAAGTGCAGACATGGTTTTATGTTTACGCGGTGTGATACGCAACGCAACAGTAATGATGTCCCCACTGGATGCAACAAATGCCTAGTTTGTAATGGGTTTTATTGGTTTTGTCTCGTCGTGCTGGGAGATGGCATCACAGTATGTTAAGAGTCGTAAAATTTCTGTCACACGCTTGAGGTATTCAGCCAATCACAACGCACTAGATTGCTGGCCAATACCTCGCTTTTCAGAACGATGAGCTTTGTAAAAGTCAATGCGTTTCAGAAAGGTGGGGCATAGAGGAGCAACAATAATGTACAGTATGTGGAAAATAATGTGTTTTTTAACCTTAAACCGCATAAACACATTTCATTACACCAAATACACAACATAATGTTCTTTTTAGCAACGTCATATGACCCCTTTAAAATAAGTTTTACTTGAAGTAAATAACATAATATTTTGATTTGAGAGAATTCTATAAAAGTTTATTCTTAAAACAAGGAATAGCTACTTTTTGCCATGAGAAAATGACCTTTTATCCTTTTACATTCACTGGATTTTTTGCAAGTTGTTTTGTCTTGTTTAAAACAACTCACCAATTTCAGCTTGCAAGTGAAGTCCTCCAGCTCCGGATAAGGGTGCAGTTTTGTAGCTTTTTTTATTTAGGAATTGGAAAGAACACACACACTTTCTTCTGTGGATATTTTAATTTTAAAGCTGAAAGCACATGCTCATTTCCTTTTCTTTTGTTCTGGCATGAAATGTAAGGAATATGGTGCTGCACACAGACATTCTTCTCTAATTTGTCAGACTTCTATACAAATGTTTCCTTGGCAACAAACAACTGGACATGTTGACCATGAGCTTATATTTCATGCATCATGCCATTTACTATAACCTTTTGATTTATTTAGACAAAAAATTTAGGATTTTACTATTGACCATTTTATTAATTATCAACAATGATATGAAAATAATTTTCAGCATTAAACAGAAATTTAGACAGAAATATCAGTGCATCCTTAATTTCTTTGAGAAATAGGTCAGGCTATATTTATTTATTCATGAATGAATGAAATGCAGAACAAAATAGCCACATATCTCATCATTTTCAGTATAGAACTGAATGGTTAACAACGGTAACTGGGATTTGTTTTCCTCCCAAGGTTCCACCATTGTTTCACAATAAGGATAGATGTTAAGAGCTGGCTCGTAAATCTTTTAGAGTAAGTGCGAGGGACCATCTATGTATACCTTGATGTGTCTTCCTAAACACATCAAGCAAATGTGTAGAGGGTATTCTTAATGTATATGTGCTCCTGCTGACTGACTGCAGCATCTGCCAGGAATAGGGTGGAAGTCCTGGTGGAAACCAAGCCCTCTAAACTGCAGGAGTTTTTTCATCTTTTGGATTCCAGCCACTGGGATCTTTCTTTTTGCTCCCAGCTAGCCTCACCTCTTTGACATAGCTCTTTGTGATGAATAATTACAGATGAATTTTAGAGCAAAATGTAATTGTTCAGTAAATAAATGCTTCTGAATAGAAGCAGTGATTTTGATTGCATTTCTGGACTTGTTGTAATGTTTTCAATAGTTAATGTCCCCCTGATGTGATATTTGGCATTAAAAAGTACTGTAGATTATCAGTTACTATCTGTTGAGTACCTGCTTTGGCATGAAGAAATAAAAAAGGAAGCTTTTTATCATTTGCCTAAGTTCTGTTTGCCATGGTAGAAAAAAAGACATGGATCTGGAATAGAACTTACTTCAAAACATTTTTGGATATGTAGACTTTTGTTATCTTCATCAATCATTTTTTGTCCAACGCCAAAGTGCACAGTAAGCTCCTTCCCCCGAGAGCATGCGTAAAATAACCACATTTTAACTGTGGTGTGTATAATAGACGCCTGTGTCAGCTCTCTGCTGCTGAAGCGCCCCGCGGTAGATGGAAAATTAGACATATATTGCTGCACAATAAATCTTATTGTAATTCACAAAGCTTGCATTACAAATCTTTGGCCCGTACAGCAGACTTGGCATTGCACGTTTGCCCTTGTGCTCCTCTGGGCACATGCAGGCAGCTGTTGACGTTCTAATTTGGAATAAGACATGATCATTGTCATTTCCGTGGAACTGGGATTTAATCCCTCTGATACGGTGCACTTCTTCGCACAAGCCTGTGTTAGGACGTACGGGGGAAGGCTAGGTGGGGGTGTTGGTAAGTACGGAGAATGATGTCGCAGCCTCTAAATGGCCTGTTTGGATGAACTGTCAGAGTGTTAGTACAAACATGTAGGTGTTTGGGCTGCAAATAATAATTAATACTGTATTGCTGCGCGGAGGCGACAGCCCTGTTATTTCATGGACCTGATGACTAAACATTGGAGGGAGTCATCTGGAACAATATTTTACTGTTCTGGAAGTGGCGGCTCCTCCTGAGCTCCATGCTATTGCCACTAAGTCCAGTGAATCAGTCAGGGAGGGCTGTTTCCCCGAGCCCAGCTGCTATTTATCTGATTTTCTCATTAGACTTGACTCATGACTTCATTGTACGGCTTTTGGCCGAAACTCTGCAGGGCTGAAGAGTTGCACTTTTGAGCTGTTTATGTGTACGGTTCAAGGAGACATTGCAGGTAACTTTTGTCTATGTATGGCCTTTGTTTACCTCTCGCAGCCCAGACTGCCATTCAGCAGATGTTCAAGCCCTGAAATGCCTTTCTTTTTTTTTTTTCTTTCTTTTACATATTTAGAGTGGTTCGGTTTGTTTTTGACACTTTGCAGCATGCCGGGCCACACGTCGTGTTGCTATTCAACTTTGGAGTGTGCTGAATTGCCGGGGGAGTAAGTCACACAAAGAAGGCTCATATTTATGTAATATAACACAAAGTGCAGATTCTACAGATTTCAAAGAGCATCTGAATAGACGCCAGGAGAGAGACTCGGCTGAAATTGTCTTCAAAGTAGTTACCTTTTCAAAAGCCGTCTATCATGTAGAGGGTAAAGTGTGATTACAGC